TTTAATTTGGAAGTGACCACTAGCATAGGGTGACCAGATTTTAACATTGGTAAGGCGGGACAGGGGACGGGGCAGGGCAGGGCCTGACAACAATGCAAACTTTGATGAACAGTTCTCAATAATCCCTTCTCAGCAATTATTTGTTATTATTACAGTTTAACATTATAAAATTAACAAAAATAATTTAAAACTCATATTCTGGTGAAATAGCCACATGGTAGCCAAATTCCCTTCTTGTTCTCCCGCCTATTCGTGCATTCTTTCCAAAAATCCGGACTTTTTTAAGATGCCGCAGGAAGCTGGATAAATTGTTGAAAAGCGGGATGTCTGGTCACCCTACACTAGCACCCTCCCAAAAGTTATGGGATCAGGTGAGAACCTGACAAATCCTAATTGGCTGGAGGCAGCTGCAGTCTGGTAGGTGATTGGCTATACAGGTGGTGTGAGCTGGTTGCATCATCAAGCCCCCAGCCTCTGGTAGTAGCCCTTGGGGGACCAGCACGCCAGTCTGTGCAGCTTCCTGAGGAGATCCAAGGCCACCTCCATTTTCTCAGCTATCCTGAAGATGAGTAAGAGGGGCCTTGAAAGCTGTGGGAGCCTCTCTGCCAAGGGTGGGGCCGGTGGCGGCAGTGACCCCCCATGTGAGGGAAGTGCAGGTCCAGCGAGGAAGACCCGCAGACCCCAGCTGGAAATGCAGAAAGTTATACCTTGCTGTGTAAACCAGCTGCTCAGCGCCACTCTGGTTGATAACGTGTTCAAGGTTAGAGAAGTTGTGGTTTCCCAGGTCGTCATTGTGGGAATCATCCGACAAGCAGACAGGGCTCCGAATGGCATTCTTTACAAAATTGATGATATGACCTCGAAGCCCATCGAGGCCCAGCATTGGCTTGGCAGAGACGAAGCCGAGCAGACGACTCCGCTACCCATCGGAGTGTAAGCGAAAGTGTTCGGCGTCCTGCAAGGGTCCGCCCAGGCCAGGAGGCTCGAGATACTAAGGATCCTCCTGGTGAAGAACATGAGTGCCCTGACGATTAATATTCTAGACACCGCGAATGCACACATGATTCTTTGGAAAGCCGCTCAAAATACCTCTTGGGAAAGTCGGGAAGAGGCCCGGAAATACAGCGAACGTCGCTCCCAGTTCTTCAAGTTCATCCGGGAGAACACAAGAGAAAAGCCTCTGCCAGCTCCAGAGCCAGCGTGGCGGCCTGAGCATTAAAGCCACCAAGGAAGCGACTGAGACCATGGAGAGCCACATCTGCTGATTGGGGAAGTGAAGGTATCATTTTCTGAAGACCCTCCCCTCCAGCTGTGAGTTATTTTGACCTGTTGACTTTTAGGAAGGAGAATTTTTCAACAAAAAAATCTAGCCTGGCCTCCTTAGGTAATTTGCTGCTTTTCCACCTGCTTTAAACTTTGTTTTTCTAACTACATTGAAAGCTCCGACAGAGAAGACAATGGACAAATTGGACTCTTTGTAGAATTGACCAGCAAGATAATGGAAACACTCAAGGATGGATGATTTTGCTGGGATGGGAAGGAGGCTACAGAAAAAGTTGAAATTTATTATTTGACTTCTTTTTAAAGATGAACCATGAGGGTTTTTTTGTTTGTTTGTTTTCTGAAATAACTATATACTAGGAATAACGTTGTAGTCGGAGGGCCAGTTAAGAGACAAAACCAAAAATAAATGTTACTTGTTTTTGCAAAGACTTATTTTTCGTGTTTGGATTTAGCTTATTATACTCATATGGTTATCTCTTGCTAAATGTAATAACTGATTAATTCAAATGTGTTATAAATACTCTACACACTGAGCGATAGGCACCGCCCTTTAGAAGGTAATGTTAACAGCTTAAACTTGGAAACAGATGATGGAAATAGGACTGTTATGCTCACACAGGCTTATTAAAAACAGATGCATATATTCTCTGAAGTCCTGATATATTTTTATCACAAACATGTTAGAATTCACACTAGTGGGTGACACCTGTGGCTCACTGAGTAGGGCACTGACCCCATATACTGAGGGTGGCAGGTCCAAACCTGGCCCTGGCCAGCTAAAACAGCAGTGGCAACTGCAACAAAGAATAGGCGGGCATTGTGTAGTCCCAGCTACTTGGGAGGCTGAGGCAAGAGAATCGCTTAAGCCCAAGAGTTGGAGGTTGCTGTGACCTGTGACGCCATAACAGGTGGGTTCAAACCCAGCTCTGGCCAAAAACTGAAAAATAAAAAGAAGAAGACAAGTCAAACTCGAGGAGCAGAGCCTTGGAGCTGTCCAGGGACTCAAGATTCACTCTGTGTTTGAAAAAGAAAAAAAAAAAAAAGAAAAGAAAAGAATTCACACTACATATTTGACTTTAAATGTTAAAAATAAATTTCTTAAGTAGAAGTCACAGTCCTATAATTCAAAGCATATCTTCTAACTCACTGTTATCTAAAATAAAAGCATAGGTGGGATCACATCTATGTGCATAATGCAAGAGTACATGTTGGAACTATTAGTATAGAGTGTAAATGTCTTAACACAATAAGTAAAGGAGATGCGATATGGATTAACCAGTATGATGTAAGCATTCATAATTCTATATGAAATCAGCACATTATACACATTATACCCCATAAATGCATTAATGTATTCATGATCTATGTGTTTATATTTAATTAAAAAAAAAAAGAAAAGCATAACCTGTAAAAGTGAGTTTCATATGGAATTTCAATTTTTTATTAAGCAAATTCAAAGGTAAAAATAAGCAAGTGATATTAATCTTAATATCATATATTTGACCTAATGTATCTAAAATATTATGCCAACAAGTAAGAAATATAAAAATTAAGATATTTTATATTCTTTTTTTGTCTGTACTAAGTCTTTGATATTCAGCATATAATTTAAAAGTAGAGCATATCACAATTACAAATTGCTCTATTTGAAGTAGTTTCTTATCACAAGTGGTTTCCACATAGGAACGTGTAGGTTGAAGTTAACTTTACACGACCATTATTTCACCAGAATGGAAAGATGAAATAAAGTATATATTATTTATTTTTTGATTAGTGTTTAATCTAAAACTGTCACTCCTTCAAACAGTAGAAAAAAAATATACCTTATTTTATTTATATTTTTGGAAGTACTCTTACAGAATACTTTCAGAGTATATATTTTGGATGAACCTTATCTCAAGTATGCTAAATTGCTCCAAGTTAAATGTTTAAATTAGAATAGTTGTGAAGAATGTGTTATAGTTTTTATTATGTTAAACATAACTGAATAAGCATTGAACTGGATAGGAGCTGACTGGTTGACAAAAGTGTCACGTTTTATAGACATATGGTTAAACACATATTATGTTGGTTTTTTCTATTGTTATGGAGGCATTATATGTATTTTTTTAGGCTCCCAACATCTTCGGCCCTGAGAAATCTCGTGGGCTTTGAACACTGTGCCCCTAATGCCAAATGTGTGAACACCCATTTCCCCTAAACCTGCTTGCAAATTGTAATTACTATTCCTTTCGTTCTTGGCATAATTGTCAATCACAGTAGGGTTATTCTAACTTATATTTTACCATCAGGATATTCCTGTTTGCTTTTTTTTTTACATGGACATAATATGTCCTTATTTATTTACTTGACTGTTTTCTGTTTCTGTGTTTAGGGAAACAAATAGCGTGTCTGCTTTGTCACCTACACTTACTGTATAATTAAGGACCTAGTACATAATAGACAATGACATTAGATAAATGAATTTTAAAAATGTTTATTAGAAGGAAAGGTTGAAGATTATTTCCCTCAGATGCAGAGTAAAGTTGTCCATATGATAGGGATCTGAGATTTCTCTGAGCTACACACCATCGTCAAAGCCATCCACACGTGTCCAGTGTTTCTAGTTGAGCAAGGCTAGAAAAGTTTTGAGCATAAAAGCTTTATAATATCTGACATTTTGCCAACCCTTTATATTTTAGTAAGATCATGTCCTTTTACATTTAGCAATTTTGTTCTTTCTTAGATGGTCTGAAACTTTCTATTCTCAACTTAAGGGACTTGTATGCTTTTTAAATTTTTTTCATTTTTCTTTATTCTCTAAATTTACAGTTCTTAATCCTAGTCTATTTTTATCCTCCCATGGGACATGTGGCAATGTCTGGAGGTATTTTTTGTTTTCATACTGGGTATAGAAGAGGATCTATTAGGTAGAAAAAAGGGTGCTCCGAAAATTTTTTAAATGCACAAAATAGTTCCCCAGAAATCCTAGATGTCTATTGTGCTGATGTAAAATTCTATTCTAATTTAATAGTTTACTTTAAAATGATGATTTGTTCTCTCCTTAAACCATTCTTAAATTTAATAAAATTTGTTTTTGTGTATGATACACCTTTTTCTTCATTATAGCTAACATTTTTTCAAGTTTTTTTTTTTGGGGGGGGCAGTTTTTGGCTGGGGCTGAGTTTGAACTCACCACCTCTGGCATATGGGCCAGTGCCCTACTTTTTTGAGCCACTGGTGCTGCCCCATTTTTTCAAGTTTTTATAAAGACTTAGTCAAAAAGATGAATAGCAGTTACCAATTAGCAATGTGATTCTTTTAAAATATTTCCTTTCTTTCTTTTTTTATTTCATTCCCTTTTTCTTGACAGAGTCTCACTCTGTCCCTTGGGTAGAGTGTCAAGGCATTATTGCTCATAGCAACTTCAGTTTCTTGGGTTCAGGCGATCTCTTGCCCCAGTTACCCCAGGAACTGAGACTACAAGCACCCACTATGATGGCCAGTTACTTTGTCTATTTTTAGTAGAGACAGGGCCTCTTGTGCAGTCTGGTCTCAAACAACTAAACTTAAATAATCTACCTGCCCTGGTCTCCCAAAGTGCTAGGATTATAGGAGTGAGCCAATGTAGCTGGCCTCTTTGTTTCTTTAACTGTTAGCAGATATAATGAAAATTTTCATGAGTATCATCATGTGATTTTATTAATTCAATGTATCTTTTAAAATCTATTTTATAGGTCCCTTTAGATGGACTATAATACAGCAGAAGCCTTTTCATCAAAAAGATTAATGCCTGTGATATCATTTCTGCAATAAAATAAGAAGCTAAGTGGTGGAGGCCACAGAACACGTCAAACCTGGATTCCACAATTCTGCATTAAGTGTTCGAGTTTGTATCACTCTGCTGCAGGAAAGCCTTTGCCAATGCTTACAAGGAACTGTTTATCCCTGCTTCTCTGGGTCCTGTTTGATGGAGGTCTCCTAACACCACTTCAACCACAGCCACAACAGACTTTAGCCACAGAGCCAAGAGAAAATGTTATCCACCTTCCAGGGCGACGGTCACATTTCCAACGAGTTAAACGTGGCTGGGTATGGAATCAATTTTTTGTGCTGGAAGAATACATGGGCTCCGAGCCTCAGTACGTGGGAAAGGTAATGGCGTGTTTCTTTTGGCAACCACTTGATAGGAAGGGGGAAAATGCATTGTATATTGTGTATGGATGTTTTGCACAGGAGTTGAACAAACCAGTGACTAAAACACTGGAATTGAAATTCAAGAGACCTGGTTTATCTTCCTGACTCAGTGGCCCGGGTAAGCTTTGGAATATCATTTAACCCTCTTTGCTTCAATCCTTCCTGATTATTTTAATGAACACATTTTTTTTTGTTTACATCTTTGACATTCTTTGCAGAAGATGTAATGTTAAATAAGCAAAATGTTATTAAATACAATTTTAAGTGTAATTTCATGTATAGTATAATGTTAGTTATAAAACATTATTGCTCTAGGCAGTGCCTGTGGCTCAAAGGAGTAGGGCGCCAGCACCATATCCTCATATGCTGGAGGTGGTAGGTTCAAACTCAGCCCCGGCCAAAAACTGAAAAAAAAAAAAAAAATTATTTCTCATAGCTAGATTGGAATTGTTTACCAACAAAAAACACAGAGAAAAATTACCAGGCATAAATATCATAAACTGATACCAGTATTCTTAAATGATCTTTCCCTTTAAAACATGATACACCATTTGTATTATGGTTCATACGTGTTTGATTTGTCTTCTTTATGCTTTTATAAACTATTTCCTTATTATATGTTTCACAAGCTACTTGTAAAGCTATTTATGGCTAAAGTAATAAATGTTAGCACCCAAACATATATCCAATCTTCAACATAACACACCTATTTTTTGAAAATCTCATTGCAAGTATACAGAAATGTATTTTTTACACAATTGTTGATGACAACTGTTTCAGCACTCTTATGTTTTGCTGCTTATTTTTCTTCTATAATAATGTTCACACTGGGTGGCACCTGTGGCTCAAGGGAGTAAAGCACTGGCCCCATATGCTGGAGGTGGTGGGTTCAAACCCAGCCAGGGCCAAAACCCACAAATAATAATGATGATGATGATGATGATGATGATGATGATGATGATGTTCACCCTTGTCTAAGATAGTCAGAACTTATCCATCACTTCAAAAAATTATTTTTCCCCTCAAAATTTTTAATTTACTCTGATTTTAGGAATTATTTTCTGAATTTTGCAAAAGATTTTGTTCTTTTCATTGAAAAGGTATATGACTGAGAATAGTTTAAAACAGTAGTGCTCAACCTTCCTAATTCCATGACCCTTTTACAGTTCCTGCAGGTTGCAACCCACAGGTTGACAACCATTGGTTTAAAATAAATCCAAAGGCAGATATGGAAAATCGTAGTAGGAAGGGTGCTGGGAAGTGAATGTAGATGATCAGGACTCTTGACCACTATGGCCCCTGAGTGTTCTGAAAACATATACTATATCAAAACATCACATGAACCCTATCAATATATACAACTATTACATACTTACGATAATCAATAATTATTTTTTAAGAAGGAGGAAGTCTAACATGTAACTTATTATTACATTTAAAGAGTGTAATTTTCACTGGTACATGGCTCCACATTAGTAATGGGTAATAAGACCCATGATTCTTAAGAAATGTATGTTTCTAATGCAAATGAAACAACAGTCGCTAAGATTCCTTTTCCACAGGGAAACTAATTAAAATTTAATTAACTATCTAAATGCTTCTAGATTTGAGATAGGAATATGATAATATGGGGACCAATTCAAACCATTCTATGAGTGTGCAAAAACATATAAATATACTGATATTTCTGTTCTTTCCAGAAAGGCTTTGAGACTGCACCTAGAAAAGTAAAGTATTATAAATGATGTGAAACTCAGGACTAAGGGAAAAGATAAATGCAAAACTGTCAAGGAAAATAATCAAATGACTAAATTTGAAAACTCACACAGTTGAAAATCCAAGTGTAACTTTTGTCCCCTCATAACTATTCATAGCTTACTATTAACCAAAACGCTTACAGATAATATGAATTATAAACGAACACATATTATGTATGTCATATATTATATTATCTATTGCTGTAGTAAACTAGAGAAAATGTTATTGGGAAAGTCATCAAAATAATAAAATATATTCACTATGAAATGAAAGTGAATCATCATAAACACCTTCACATTTGTCATCTTCACACCAAGTAGGCTGAGGAGGAGAGAAAGAGAGGGAAAGAGGTTAAAAAAAAAAAACAAAAAAACTCTGTGTATAAGAGGTTCCACACAGTCCAAACTGTGTTGTTGAAGGGTCAGCTGTACTATCCTGACCGTATATGTGAAAATTATTAACTCATACATCATGTTTCCCCAAAAATAATACACTGTCTTATATTTATTTTTTCTCAAGAAGACACACTAGGGCTTATTTTTCAGGTGATATCTTATTTTTATTAAGTATAATACAACAATCTACATTTATTCAAATACAGTTAAGTCATCTTCTTCTGGAACCTGACAGGGGGAGCCAACCTTGTTAGTGGGACTGGCACTAGTGATGCGTGAACTCCTTTCCCCTAGCAGTTCACATGTGCACAATAGGATGCCTGTGAAGGCGGTTTCCACGCCGCACTGCACAAATGCTAATGGCTCGGAGAAAGGAGCTGTGGCAGATAAAAGGTATTCCAGTCTTTCTTACCGCTCTGTGTGGAAATGCATAGCCACGCCCATCACTAGGTCTGATTATTGGGGTAGGGCTTATAGTTAACAAATGCGTAGAAATCCTGCTAGGGCTTATTTTAGGGGTAGGTCTTATTTTCAAGGAAACACGGTACTTCTCATCATTGAAAACTTCACTATTTTAGAGAAAACTGGTTGTTCTATATTCAAATCTAAAAGAATGACCTTATAGAAGTTAATAGAAGGGACCTTGAGTTAGTTAGTGGACATGAGCCTCAATAGTCATTATATTGAAAAGAACAGATTTTAATGCTGACAGCCTTTTAAAAAAGAACAAATTGTGAAATTGCTTATAATGACTATTAGTTTACTTTCTATACAAAGAAATCACAGGGGTATCTGGGGATAAAGCTAATAGTCTCCTTGAATCTCATTTTGGATTTGCTGCATTAGCTGGATGAGTCAAAGATTCTACACTGAAAGTGAGAAAAAAAGTCAATTGATGTGTAAAAATGTTGCAAGTTGGCTCAAAGTAACCAAAAGCCAAAAATCTTCCATCATCCTAGACCAGGCGTCCTCAAGCTATGGCCCATAGGCTGCATGGGGCCTGCCTAGGCATTTATCTGGCCTGCCAGGTGTTTTTGCCGCTGTTGCCTGTCCTGCTTAGCAGCTGACTCATCCCGGGGCCCGCAGTCTGGCCCTCCAATGGTCTGAGGGAAAGTGAACTGACCCCCTGTTTAAAATGTTTGAGGACTCCTGTCCTAGACACTCACACACATATGCATAAGCACGTATATATACACAAAGACAATGTCAGATGCTTACACTGACATATAACTACGTGCCTGTGTGTCCGTAGTAGGATGTTTTGTCACAACCCTGGAGCTGTGTATCAAGATGATGCTACCTGCTTCCTCCTCAAAGAGTAATTTGGGAAATTGGGTTGTCATTTCAGATGAATCATAGTTAGCAGCAATTCTTAAGTCTAAATTATTAAAAGACCAAAAGGATTAAAAATAGAAAGATGATATATAAACCCTGGTTTCACAGGCATCCATTCATTCAACATCTTTTTGGTGAAGAAAGCCTTATAACTTGAGATAGATTAAGCCTTGTGGGGATGAATGTAAGTATGGAAGTCTCTAGATTGCAATTGTTAAAGGTAAGCTCTATCTAGTGCTTTCTGTGGGCACTGTTTCAATTTCTTTACAGACATAAATCTGAAAAATCTTCAAAATAGCAACATAAGGGATTTTCTGTAGCCCTATTTTACATATCAGAAAATGGAGGCACAGAATGTTAACTTCCCTCGGCCCCCCGATACCCAGTGGATGCTGACATAGCATGTTAACACTGGCCGTTTAGCTGCCCTGCACCTGAAAATATTGCAGTCTATAATGATTTAAGGCGCTTAAGTAATGATAGTAATTTCAATATTCTATCAAAAGTACAATACCAGAGATATTATTAGAGGCTGTGACAACACCAGAAGGTCTATGACTGTGTCCAGAAGATGCAGAAATGAAGAAAGACTTCACAGAAGATGAAGCGCCTGAGATAAGTCTTGAAGAACAATCTGATTTTTCCACAGAGGTAGCCTGAAGAAAAGTTTTTATAAGCACTGAGGCTTGAAAGGCCAAGGTGAGCCTAAGTAACCATATTTCAGTATTTCAGAGAGTTCAAAGCCAACCTTTTAAAGTAGGCAAAAATAAAAAGTGTGGAAAAATCTCAATCCTAATAGCAAAATGAGTAGTATTTGTCCTTTAGGGTATTAAGACCCACGCAATGTCTTCTTTGGGGTTGAATATCAATGGAATTGCTTTTAGAATTCCTATTCTGAATTATTTTAACCAAATAAAGGTGCCTTGACAGGAAAACAGGTCTAGAGATAGGGAACATTTGCAGGAGGTGGTTATCATTGGCTTGCACAGGATATAAGAGGAAATGGAATGTCAGTGTTGAAGATTTGAAAAGCAGAGAGATAAAAATTTAGGAATATAAAGTATGAGACAGATTACAGAAAAAATGTGGAGGAAGATGTGCAGAAATTAGTGGATAACTGAGTATAAAGAGTAAAAGGAAGAAAGAAGTTAAAATGACACACATTTCTGACTTCTGTTTTATTAATATCCTTTATAGATGTTGGGCTTGACTCAGAACTAAGATGATCACTTAGATCACTATAGACACTATATTTCCTTAGTTACTTAGAGGTACTCAGGTGATGTAATTCATGGATATTTGGATACATTAGTGTTCAGAAGAAAGTAATTAGTACACAGATGACAGTTAAAATCATATAAGTGGGTAATACACTCTAAAAAAATACAGAGAAGGAAAAAGAACTCTGATGTCTAATTGCAAAACAGATGAAGAATTAGATGAATCTCATTAGTAAGAAGCAAAAGACGT